TGTTCACCGACTTAAGAAGTATAAAACCATCCACCTGACACTCTGACTCGCCACATATCCAATGCACAATCATTTCTCTGATCCACAAACAACTTCGCAGAGATAATCAGTCGTCCATTTGTTTTCCCAACTCTCCAGCCATCCAACCGCAAAACAAATCTATTGCAACCACTTATCCATCAGTCCATCCGTCTATGCGGCAGCTAATTCGTTAGACTTAGAAAATCACCAACCTGATTTCTTTCCTCACCACATTCAGGCAAGTAGTTGGACCTAGAATTTTTTGAAGCCTTCTTTGCAGCTTTCTGCACAGCAGCGAGACGAGACAGAAGGTGAGAGACGATCCCTAATTGTTGGACAAAGGAGTTTTCTCCATCCCCTTCAGAAGACGATTTCAAAAATGTATTTATAAGTTTCTCCGCCATTTCTTGGCAATAGTGTCGCAGGATGGGCTTAGCGCCTGGTCGGTTAAGCAAACAATCCACCAGAGCGATCTACAAAAACGTGTCACATGGGGACTGAGAACCCGGGGACCAACCGGCTGTGAAACAATTAATGTTGAAGAAGCATTAAGGTCGGAACTGGAGGGAAATTTCTACATACCACATTAATGAAACATGCATTTCTGAAATAAAGGCTGAAACTCTTTTACTACTGCTGTGTCAGGGGTTCGAATATCCAGCCAACGCATCCATGCAACGCAATCTTTCCAAAACATTTTCAATGTCTCTCGGAGAACTTTTGAGCGAATTAGGTCGAGAATAGGCAACTTTACAAATTTGATCAGTTGGACACCAGAATTGCCTCACGTCAGTCATGCGCACACGACGGCCTCGCGATTCAGTCACATTTAGTGCAAGGTAAAAGGGTTCTAGCAGAGCCCTCTCTTGTATGACTCCATGACTATTGCCTAAATGCGAAAAATTAGGTGTCTCAGCTAATGAATCTTCACATGCCCAGAACCGTCAATGGTAGGATACACAGACGCCCCTAAAGAACCCTTCTATTGCTATATCAGAGGAGTTTTACGCTTTTATATGACACCTCATCATCACAAGGCAATGTATACACAAACGGCCAGTTCGAATAGTGTAACGACCACCGGTGCAGAGGGTGACAAAGTCCCCATCGGCGACATCCTTTTT